TAAATAGTTCAGGGGGTAAAAAATACGGTATTGAATAGTCTAGGGAGGTAATAGGTCCTCATGAAAGTTTAGTATCGCAACAACAAATTCGACCAAAGTTGGGGTATTTTTCAGATCCTTATCCCTAAATATAATATAGGGTGAAAGTAAGTATATATTTATTGATTTTTTTCTTAATTAAAATATATAAAGAGATATAAAAAAATAATTAAAGATTTACATATGGAATTTGTATATATGGTAAGACAATTTTTGAATTCCTTTTGCCACTCTCTCAAGCGGACCAAGTTTAAATTAATTGGAAAACTATATAAATTGGACCCATTAGGTAAAATATTTACTCAAATTGGATTCAACCTAATATATTTATCTTGATTGGACCCATGGCTCAAAATATTTACCCGACTGCCCCCTTTTTCTATTCATTAAACCATTGTTTCTTCGTCCTTGATACCATCAGAGTATATATATATTATGATGGTATTAAGTAGTAATTGACTAGTCTTTTCACTGAAACACTGCATGTTCCTCCTTGATGTAATCAGAATATATATATATATATATATTCACTGATACTGATGCACTGTTGCTTCCTCTTTGATACTATCAGAGTATATATATACTTTGATGGTATCAAGCAGTATACGCACATTAGTAGTTTAAAACAGAGGGTATGAAAATAAGGGGTAATCACTTGTACATAGTTTCCTTTTTTGGGACACAAGTGTTCTTTTCCCAAAATTAATTGGGTCCATCTCTTAACTTCACTCAACATGATGAACCCGTCAAAATTTGATCCAACTCATTTATTTACGCACCCCTATCGAAACAAATAAGAGAAAACTCACCAGAAATGCCAGCAGTACAATATACAAGAATGAAAACCATGCCACCAAGGGCCCAAGCAATACCAAGAAGCCCAACACCACTACATGGATCATCATTCTTTGCTCTTTCACTCACATTTCCCATTATGGTTAACATTCCAATGTAAAGTAACAAAAGAGTTGCTACAAACTCTGCAATTAAGGCCCTATACAAGGCCCATTTTTTTAGCTCCGCCGCGCCAATGAATGGCGCTGGCGGTGGCTCGTGGTAGTCCTTTGCCGGAGATGAACTTTTCTCCGGCAATGCACTACTCACTTCATTTCTCATTTTTTTTGTTGTTGATTTAATTCAAGAGAGAATATGATTTACATAAATGTCGTAAGACTTGAAAAATATAGGTAGAAGGTGGTCATATATAAACAAAAAAAATCATTATTATTGGATAAGAGTAATGAGGTTGTTGACTTGGTCTTCCACTTTACTGTCGTTCAGTGACGGAGTCAGAAATTTATACAATAGATTAAAAATGACGGAATTAGCTTAGAAAAATATGACTCGTCCAATCCATTCATTTTTTTAACTCACTCATTTTAAGCCATTAAATTCAACTAATCTAAAAGTTTAGATTGAATATGTAACTTAAACTGATTCATGAGAAAATCTTGTTAAAATATATCTTTTAAGCTTTTTTTTTGTTTGATATATCATATATAGACAATAAGAAAGAACATATATTATATAACGTTGGGCGGTTTGGGTTGAGAACCCATTGTTTAGTCAATCTTGACTAGTTCATCTCAACCCACTTTGGGCGGGTGAATAACCCCTTTATTTCTTAACTCAATCTATTTTTTTTCTGCATAAATTTAGTCTGAGCTCTTGTTGATGAAAAGTCGCCTATTTTTCTTCAATTTTTAGAAGAATGAGAAATTTTTCTCACAGACAACAACGCTCTGGTCGAAAATTTAGGGATCAATAAAATAACATAACAACACCCACCTAACCTAATTAATGTGGAGTGCTTGTGGATGGTGTGCCACATGGGTACTTTCCAGCTTCTCGAGGGCTGCGACAAGGGTTCCAAACCTAGCTTGTTGATATTTGCTAAAAAAGTGCTAATGGTATCATTAAAAATGATAACTCCGTCTAATTGACATCCACACATAAGGATTTTAAAAAGTACTAAAATTTGAACATGTGACTTAATACAAATTTTTAACCCCTTAATCACTATAGTAGAGTTTTCAGCTATGTCAATGAGCCTTTTTTTTAGGGTTTTCACATGGTGTTTGGTATCCCAGTTCTGGGGCGCATTATACCAACGGTTCATATTCGATACCTCTGATTAAGGATGGAAGATACTTACCACTCTACCACAATCTTTGATAATATATCAAGGAGAATCAATAGTTATATAGCCAAAAAAAAATCATTTTTGTCCTATATAGCTATTGTAATTTTCTGGCGGCTCTTATACCATTTTCATTTTTCTCCTTTATACTAAAATAGTTAAAACAAAGAAATTCAATCAAAAAGTGAAGTATCTTAACAAAAATATGACATGAAATACATTGAAGCAATATTCAAGTGGGCAAACATGTAGTAAATATAAACCTACCAATGACAGCACATAATTAAATACAAGAAGTAGACAGGTCGAAATAATTCAAATAATGAAAATCGGAATTCAAAATACTTGAAAATGACAGTTGAAACACAACTTGCAATAGAAATTTTGATAATTTCTAAACACACACAAGTAATTAATTAAGTATGATTATATTATTATTATTATTATTATTATTATTATATATAATAAGTGAATGTGTTATATTTTGTACCAACATGGATTGTGGTGCACTGTTGGGAGTGCTTCACCCTTAACTAGAGGTCTCGGGTTCAAGCCCTGGATGGAGAAAATCCTGTTGGGAGCGCCACCCCCGAATGGGTCCTGCAGAGCGCGATTCGAATTTAGTCGAAGCTCAAATGTGGGCTCTAGACACCGAATGAGGAACCAAAAAAAAAGAATATGTTATATGTTGTGATATTTGCATTTACGATCTCAAGTTTCTAAACACATTATATTTTTACTTAGGACAAGGCTTCAAGCTTTTATGACAACATTCAAGATGTATGGTTAAAATAGGAGTCATAATTTGCAAAGCATTTACAACTTAGTTGCCTTAGAATCCAACTTCGGAACTCTATTCTAAAGTTTTGAACTTCGATTCTGAACTTTCAAACGAAAAGCTTTGGGTTTGAAGTTTTGACGCAATTTGAACTTTAGATGTGTGGGTGGAAGTAGGGGTGTAAAAAACCGAACCGAAAATTGAACTAAACTGCAAATTAAGTCAAACCGAAAAAAATGTGACTAGTGGTTTGGTTTGACTTGGTTTGGTATTGGAAAAAAAAACCCGACTATATTTGGATGTTTGGTTTAACTAAAAAAAACCAACCCGAGACCAAACCAACCCGACATTATATATGTAATTTTAAAATTTTATTTTATACATTAAAATATTTACTTTGATATAATGTTAAAATATTTCTTATACTATTTCATAGTTTTTTATCTTTTAATATAGTATTTCAAGTATAAAACTTAGAATTCGAAATGGTCCAATAAAGATTATAGTTCATAAATGTTGATAATTATAATAAAACTTAAATCTAAATCAAATTAATGCTAATGCAAAACGAAAATCAATTCAACACTAATAATGACAATAATATTGAATATTTGTTCTTTAGTTTTCATTGGTTTAGACAATTAAAATACATAATCTAATTTTAATTTTCCTTAAATATTTAGTAATGTAACTAATACTTATTAAACTTATTTTAGCATGATTTAATACTTTTAAATTATGATCATTTTCATTATGACTTTGCAATATTTATTTTATATGATGATTTCATTATTATTTTTTATTGAATATTTTAGTGTCATCAGTACTCATCCCATATTTTGGATTATTTTCTTAAGAAACACCTTAGATAATTGTATTTTGGTTGGACCAAAGAAATATTTGGAGCACAAGTTAATTATATGTTTGTATGCAAACTTTACCGAAAAATCCAAAAATCTGAAAAAGCCGAGGTTTATTAGTTTGGTTTGATTTATAAATTAAAAAATTCGACACAATGGTTTGGTTTGGTAATTGAAAAACCCGAACCAACCCGAGGTTGAAAAACCCGAAAAAATTCGAATTTTATTAGTTTGATTTGGTTTATAAATTTAAATTTTTTACACAAATAGTTTGGTTTGATATTTGAAAAATCTGAACCAACCCGGTAATGTACAACCCCCGTAAGTAATTCAAAACTTCAAACCCAAAGAATCAGTAACTCATTCGAACTTGAAACCTAAGGGAGAAAGTTAGGCATTGGTAGGGTTAAAGCCGTCTGAACTTTTCATCATATGGTTAAAATTTAAATATACTATAAAACTGGCTATAATTTAAACAGTGTATCTAAAAGTGGTTACTTGTGCCAATTTTACCGGGCTAAGTTGTTTTCTAGTCCAAAGGCTAAACAACAACTCCAATATGTATGGGCTCGGAGAAAGCCCAATTTGAAATTCATTTTTTTTTTCAAAAATATATTTTATCGAATTAATAGCCTTTTTAGTCCCTCAATTATTGATATCTGGAAAAGTTGTTATCATGTGACCAGTAGATCATATGTTCGAGCTATCGAAACAACCTCTTGTTGAAATGTAGGATAAAACTGTGTACAATATACTCTTGTGGTCTGATCCTTTCCCGAACTTAGCGCATAGCGAGAGCTTAATGCACCAGACTGCCCTTTTGATATTTAAATAAGCGTATTTAGCCTTTAATTAATTGAAATGTGCATTTGATATTTTTGTTCTAAATATTCACAACTTTATCATAATTATTAACCATTCCTCAGCTTATTGCACCCGTATTTTATGTTAAGCTTGGATTGTTATTCTATATCTAATCGTTAATAACAAAGTTAGAATTATCACTAATGATATTCACAATATAAAGATGCAACATACTAATAATCGAGAATTAAACATGTATAAAACAGATTTAAATGACCCATTATGATACCCGACCTCCGCTCATGTTGACTAATATAATAAAAAAATAGTTCAAATGTAATATACTTCCTACATAAAAGAACGAATAGCTGAATAACAACTATTTTAACTAATTGAAAGTTACCTCCTTCCTTAACCAGAGATTTCGTATCTGAATATTGAGTATGAAAGAAATCCTTGGTAGAGAGTATTTTCTCTCGAATCTGGCAATACACACCACAAAGAAATAGTCATAGGAAAAACAAAAAAAAAACTATTTAAAGTTAAATATATATCCAAATATCTTTTAAAAATTGGATGACCAAAAATGGTATTGCAATTTTTTATTTTTTTATTTTTGAATAAAAAAAAAAAACCAAAAACCAAAAGAACACTCCACTCTCACCCCACCACCCCATTTTTTTCTCTCCACCCCCCTCTCTCTCTCCCTCTTTCTATCACCCTTTTCCACATTGTAAAGAAACAATTTTTTTTTTCTCTTAGTCGCAAGAGAAAATCCATTCTTTTTTATTTTTATCAAAATCTGATTTAAGGGGGGTCTTCCATTGCCACACCTAATTGGAAATCTCTGATTCAAGGTATTCAATGTAATATCCAATCTTGATATTTGTATGTGCGATTCATTTTCTATATTTGATTTCTATATTGTTATAATAATCTTAAAATTTGAAAACCCATTATTCATTTTAGTCTCAAATTGTTCATTTCTTGAGTCAAAATGCAATCTTTTGGATAATAATCACTTGCTTTGGTTGTTCTTGTTTATGTTGATGTGCAGATTAATTGTTATCTGCATTGTGTATAATTCTGAAACCCCTTTTGTGTTTTAGTCTTTATTGTTGATTTAATTTGTCTGTAATGTAGTTTCTCTGTTTAGATTGTTGTTCTTGTTTATATGGGCATTCAGATTAATGATGTTTGCATTGTTTGGTCTCCTTGAGCCGAGGGTCTATTGGAAACAACGTCTCTATCCCCACAAAGGTAGGGGTAAGGTCTCCGTACATCCTAACTTCCCCAGACCCCACTTTGGAGACTACACTGGGTATGTTGTTGTTGTTGCATTGATTGGTCTCTATATTGTGTATCATAATCTTGAAATATGGAAACCCATTGTTTGTTTTAGTCTCAAATTGTTCATTTCTTGATTCAAAATGCAATTTTTGGATATATAATCACTTGCTTTGGTTGTTCTTGTTTATGTTGATGTGCAGATTAATTGTTATCTGCATTGTGTATAATTCTGAAACCCCTTTTGTGTTTTAGTCTTTATTGTTGATTTAATTTGTCTGTAATGTAGTTT